TATACAAAAAATTGCAAAATTCAACGGTCCTGAGCTTCCCGTCGAATGTGGACCCATGGAGGGGATTCTATACAAGAATCTGCTGCAACAAGGTGAGCTTCATGGGCTTCTGTGAGTTACCGCTGAAATGCCCCTGCAAAGAGCGTGCAGTTCAGGAGGCAGACCACCATGCTGAGCCTCCAAGTCCTGCTGTGTTCTGTAACATCGCCAGGAGAAGCCCTAGGACTCAGTCTGCAGCTGTGCCCCCAGCCAGTGGTTCTCTAAGTGAAGGACAGCACAGCAGAGTCAGCAAAGGAAAAAGACACTTAGCTCTGGTCCAGAGGAGACCGAGAACAAGCCCCTTGGGAGCCCTATCTGCTGCAGGCGCATAGGGCACAGTCCTGCATGTGTCACATGGTGACTGCCAGGGAAAGCCAGGATTTCCATCAAAAGGTAATCAGTCATGGAGACGGCCTCTCCATGGCGCATTCCCAATCCCAAACTCACAGAAGGAAAGCAGGTGTTCTGCATAAGCTGCGTGGCTTGCACACACACACTTGCAGGCACAGCTGACCACTCTTCTCAGTTCTGAGGATGGCAGAACCCCTCCTGAACTCCATCCCATAAGGCCAGCTCAGGACCGACCATTCCCCATTGGCTCTTCTAAGGATAGTCCCAGGCTCATGGTGCTAGCTTTCTTATACACACACGCCAGATGTCCTGTAGTAACAGTGGCTTTTCCAACCTCTGAAATGCGTAAGACATTAGCCTACTGGGCCATATCTCCTCTCATCATGAGAAAGGTCCACAGGATGCCATTTAGCACTTGACACCAGCTCAAGCAGCTCAAAACCTGGATTAAAAAAATGCACACATCTGAGAAATCCCACAGGCCCTTCATGGGCCCTCTCCCCATAGCAGCCTTATGCTAGGGGCGCAGAGCTCAGGATTTGGAATCAGAAGAAAGATCGGCAGCCTGTTTCAGATACACTATGGTGTGTCAGTCAGTTTTCCATTCCTACAATGAAATACCAGAGGCAAGCTCCGTTATAACAAAAAGAGGTCGGCTTAGCTCTTGTGTTTGGAGGCTGCAAGTGTGAGATGAGGCAGCCACATGTGTCCACCCTCCAGTGAGGGCCTCCTGATGGATGGCACCTGGATGGGTGGACATGAGAGGAGAGCACACTGCGAAGCAGAAAGCCCAAGAGCAGCTGGACTCCTGCGATTCCTTCTGTGGGCAGCCCCTCAAGCACCTGCAGGGTTCCCATGATGCCTGACTTCTTCAGGGTCCAGCCACTTCTCCCATGGCCACACTAAGGACCTAGCATCCCACACATGAAGACTTGGGGGACAAACTCAGAAAATGCCTTCGCCATGACAGTGTGCGTCAGGTGTGACATGATACTCAGTCGCTGTGGCTCTTAACTTCCCCCCACACACAATGAGAACAAGTAAAACTTGCCTCCCCCTTCTCTGCCAGTTTCTCCCACTTCCACAGTATACCTCTGGGCTCCAATGGCTGTTTAAGTATTTGCTCTATGATTCTATTTCATATTTGTAACTTAACTTTTCACTTTGGAAAACATTTCTGTAATAGAGGTTTATTTAGTGCCTCACACTGTGTCTCACTAAATCTTCACCTTGCAAGCACCAGAATCTAGTTCAGGTCTCAGATGCTCCACTTCCCATCCAGCTCTCTGCTTGTGGCCTGGGAAAGCAGCCGAGGACAGCCCCAAGCCTTGGGACCCTTCACCTGCGTGGGTGACCAGGTAGAAGCTCCTGGCTCCTGGCTTCAGCTCAGCTCCAGCTGTTGAAAATGTTTGGGGAGTCATCCAGCAGATGAAAGATTTTTCTGTTTCTCCTCTCTGTGAATCTGCCATTCCAATTAAATAAATGTATCTCAAAATATTTATTTCCATTGGAAAGGCAGGCTTATTTACAGAGAGAAGGAGAGACAGAGAAAGATCTTCCATCTGCTGCAGGTTCACTCTTCAAATGGTCGCAACAGCCGAAGCTGAGCCTATCCAAAACCAGGAGCCAGGAACTTCTTCCAGGTCCCCCACGTGTGTTCAGGGTCCCAAGACCTTAGGCCAGCCTCTGCTGCTTTCCCAGGCCATTAGCAGGGAACTGGATTGGAAATGCAGCAGCCAGGATTCCAACCGACACCCATATGGGTTGCTGGTGGAGGATTAGCCTGTTGAGTCATAACACCAGAATCCTATAATAATAGTTAGTTTTAGCATGAAGTAGCCATGAGTACAGACCATGATAAAGAGTTGATGATCAATCATTATCTTGAGGAATGAAGTTATGCAAGTCATGGTGGAAGTAGCTGTAAAGACAGTTTCCACGTGGCTACATATAGCATGGGGCTGTATGTCCTCATCTGTCCCACTGATGTTTAGGCTGGCACAGAACCAGAGAGAGACAGGGAGGACAGTCCTGCTTGTTCTTCAGTGCTGCTCAACTGCTTTTTATCATAATAAAATATTGTGAACGGGTAAATATTGCTGGCAGTTATTCTCCACCTCACTGCATGAAAGTCCCAGACACAAATACACGATGCAGAGTCTCCTTCGACCCTGACCTTTCTTTCTGGGAATGGAGCACTGAGGTCTGTTGGGGAAACAGTCTCCTGTGACAGATGCAGAACCCCAGATGGGCAGCTCCACGGCCAGGGTGGTAGGAAGCCAGGCTTTAGTGCTGTCGCCATGGAGGAGCTAACCTTGTCCTGATCTTACAGGCTCCAGTCAGAAGTGTATACAGGGTGAGGATGGACGGTTCTTCACCCTGCGAGAATTTGAAATTGAAGGCGGCTACAAGGCATCCAGGAACTGGAAGCAAAGCGTGCGCTGCCTCGGGTGGCCCCTGAAATTTTTGATCCAGGTATTTTGGTGACTTGAGGTCTTGTCAATGCTTTACCATCAAGATTCACCAGTCTGGACTTTGGGGGACCTTTGCTGTGTCCACAAAGCCATCCTGACTACATCCCAGGGTGACAATGCAATTGTAGCTTTACTGCACAACTCAGTGTCTCCATGATTGGCTTGCTTTACAGCCTGGTCCTGTAAGTACATTAGCATGTCCCCTTTGGGGGACAGGATGGTTGGCACCTTGTGGTCTTCATTCTGCCACAAAGGAATTGTGCAGTGGGTCACATGAGGGGAGAAGGGAGTGTGCAACTTTAGGAACCAATAAATGTACCGTCATAGAATTATGTATATGGAAATGCTGAATGGTGTGGGTAGTTCCTAGATTCTAGTGTATTTCAGCTAGATGAACCAGTCAGTGTTAACCTTGAAAGAGGACATAAACAGAGTACATTATAAGTGATAGCTTTGCCCCTTCCATGAATCCCCTGGCATGGACAAGGCAGGAACAGGCTCTCCGTGCAGATGAACCTGTTGAATTTCAAACCCGGATACTGAGCTCTTCCAGCACACCTCAGACAGTCCTTGCTTGTGGCATTCTTGCAATGAAGAAAGGGTTTTTTGTAAAGCAAATATTTAATGAGCTCCATCTCAAGCTACAAGAGAGGGCCAGGTATGAATCCCAAACTAGGGAGATGGCTGCCCCCAACCACGGAGTAGCATGGGGCGCATGCTGGAGTAAGGAGCATTGGCAGGAGGTGAGGAAGCAGCTGGATGAGGGACTGTCGTTTCTGGCTCTGAAGTCAAGGGCAGATTCCCAGGACAGTTTTCATGTCCAAGAACAGTCTGGCAAACAAGAATGATGAACAGGGCATCATATGTGCACACAAAGGACAGCCAGAATTGTGCTGCACCATGTGCTGGGACACATCTGGTTAAAAAGGCTCCAGTTGTTAGCTCAGCTGATGGTAGAGGGCAGGAAGCCCTCCATTACCAGAGCATCGTGGAAAACAATCTCCATGAAGACATCTTGACTTAGAGCTGACAGTGAGACACCCAGATAGAAATTGCTAGAAGATAGTCATAGACACAAGCCTCACAGAACAAAGGCAAGATCCATGATGTCGCTGACTGTTTCTGTCTTTCAGAAAGGATTTCTGCAAAACCCACCAAGAAGCAGAAGAAAGGTGACTATCGCCTGACTTCCTACCAGTGTCTCATCCATCCAATCTCTGATTTTCCGTGATAAAATTAATTTTATTCATGATGCTCTTGCTGCTTCCAAACATCGCACAAGGTAGGAGGCTTTGGGCACTGGAAGCTGCAGCTGGAGATGGGAGCAGTCCTGCAGAATAAATGATCAGAGTGAGCCCCCCTGGTATGTATTTCACTGTCACGCCACTTCCAGTGGAGCCTGCGTGAGAAATCACCAGGCCGAGGCGGAAGCTTCAAGGAAGGATGCCTCCTGGACTCGGCTGCATCTCTAGTGGTCTTGGCATTCCTGACTGTGCTCTCTTTGCTCTTATCTTCATGGCTGGAATAATACTACTTGTGTTCGGCAAAGGCTCAATGTTCCTTTATAGTTCTATGAAGCCTTCTGACAGGAGACTGGACAAGGCTGGCAAGCAGTCTGAGATAAAACTATCAGGTCACTAGCTTTAACAAACCTACCTGGGACTATGTTTGAGAATTCCTAAAAAGAAGATTATAGTGGAAATCTATAGCTTAAAACACCATACAGGAAGAAAAACTAAGAAAAATAGACAGGTTAATATTAAAGCCAATGTAAGGCACAAAACACAATGAGAGCTAAGCGCTTAATGATTAAAACTGCAGCTGGTGCCACACCGCATCCACAAGAAATAGCAACTGCAGGCTGTCACCAGGCTGTTAGAGAACAATCTTTTATCAGCAGACCCACTTACCTCCCTGGAATAATTGTTTGTGAAATGTAACCACATGAATAAACAAAGAGAACATCCCTTTGCAATCATCTACTATATATAAGCTGATGCCTTGCTTTTGCAAAATGCACTCACGTACAACTGCCTTGCGTTGTCGTGTCTGTCTGTCAACCGCGAATTCTTGCCCACCGTTCCAGGGGTCCTGTTCCCGTCGGACTGATTGCTCCCAGCTGAGCCAGTCTGTCGCATTTCACTAGATCTGAAATGTCGTACTTTCTTAGAGCTAAGCACAGACGATGGAAGTGGAGTTTAAAAAGCAAGTGTGGGTTTGAAATACATACAGGGAAGGAGCAGCTGTTTCGCTGGGAACATCCTATGATCACACTAAATGACCTAATGTAGAATTCCCCAGGGAACGAACATCACCCAGTGGCCAAACAACAAAAACACATCCTCTGCCTTTCATGCATACTTTCCCTGCACTGCACATAAGCTTGTATACACACACACACACACACACACACACACACACACACACGGGAAATGCTTTTGCTTTATTACATTCTGAGAAGAACAGGACTGCAGCAGAAGTGCCCTGTAAGCCTGCTGATCTGCAGTCTCTCCTTTGTGAAGAGACCTCGGCCTATCAGAGGGGCTCTACAGACCCCATGCCATCAGTGATGGTGGAGACTCCCTCCGTGTGAGCGAGCCATTATGGAGTTCACAGACCAGCGACCTCCATGCTGTGTGGACTCCAGAGAAAGTAGTGAAAGCACTGCCTTGCCTGTCCTCGCCAAGGCTGCAGGTGAGCGAGCAAGCACGTGGTGCAGGAGTGTCAGGGAAGGACTTCCATTTCCATAACCTGTGGCATAGGTAACCTTCCACATCCCTTGCATACCAGGAAGCCAGTCCTCACAAAGCTGGCCAGGGGCCATTTTCTTCACTGACTTGATAACTAGAGATGCAGGGACAGGCTTCTGCATCCACCAAGGTTTCTGGAGAGAAGTGATTTGATCTATTGATTAAGTGAGTTCAGCATAGGCTAATCCAAAGCTGGTCATCTCCCTTCCTTCGCTTCATCACAGGTGCTCCCCCGCCATGCCCTAAGCACCTGCTCCAAAGGTGAAACCACCTCAGCTCCCAGAGGGTCTCTCCACCGGGTCTTCCACCCCAGCCCTTGGTTTCTGATTCTTGTGTTATGCATCCATTCAACAAGCAACTGTGGAGCAGCTATTAGGTGCCAGGTGTTATGCTGATCAGTGGTAATGCAGAGCAGGCCAATATGACTGAATTGTGTAAGCCTCCTGCCTGACTTGGCATAATAATACATGGTGGGGCTGGGGGAAAATGGAGTTCTGCACCACTCAAAGAGGTGGGCAGTGACATGGCCATCATCTCCAGTCTGTGTGGTCTGAGTCACACTGAGTGCTGTGGGCAGGAGGTAAGAGCTGGGGTAGCCATTGTTCTAGGCTGGAGGGAGGCCAAGCCATCCCAGATACCCAGGGTCCATGTAGCTGGGATTCAGGAGAATGTGGAGAAGTCCCATCTTGAGGAAGAAGAGCTGTGAGCACTGGAGACTCTGGGAACTTGTGGTCCTCAGCATTGCATCCCACTGAGGAGGTCTTTTGGGGGCTGCTGCATTGCTCTGAACTGAATGGTTATGAGAGTCAGTGAATGGTGACCCAGCCTGGTTTCCACGGTCCTAACTTAGAGGAAAAGGGCCAAGGGCCCCCACGTGGGAGGACCAGCACAGTGTCGTGGCTTAGTCTGGGAACCAAGGCCAGGCTCCCTGCATGGCCTCCAAAGGCCTGCACCTGGGGTTGAAGAACCAGGTCTGAAACCTACTTAAAGCCAAACCTCCATGAACACAGTAATGAATGCTTTCCATTCTCTAGTTCGACACCCAGCCACATAAACACAGATACAAAATGAAACCAAGGGAGGGCTGTGGCACAAAAGACTGAAATGTTCTGTTCAGGTGTCACAGGTTAAACTGCTGCCTACAACACTGGCATGCCATCTGAGTGCTGGCTGAAGTTCTGGCTGCTCCACTTCTGATCCTAGTCCCTGCTGATGCACCTGGGCAATGCAGCGAAAGGTGGCCCAGGTGCTTGGGCTTCTACTTCACATGGGAGAGACCCAGATGGAGTCCCAGGAGTCAGGCTTGAGGCTGGCTCAGTCCCAGCTGCTGTGATCATAGGGGAGTGAACCAGACGAGTCTCTGTGTGTGTGTGTGTGTGTGTGTGTGTGTGTGCCCCTCTTCCTCTGTAAGTCTAACAAATCTTTAAAAATAATTCTTTTAAAACTATACTCATGAAACTATGACTCATGAAACGTCATATCCAATATTGTGACTCAGTCTTTCTCTTTTCCACAGCGTACACAGCAGTCTGACAGCAGCATCTCTATTGACCCTTATGTAAGTACAGTCTCCTTCCTGTGATCCTGTGAGAGTCCGGGCTTCTCCCCAAGCACATGATCTCAGTCCTACTGCTGTCCCCTGCCGCATGCTCACAGTTGGCGGCAGAATGCCTTTCGTACCCTGGTTCTTTCACCTCAACACACAGAACTCCCAGGACAGGGTCTGCACCCAGGCCTGCCATTCAACTGCTCAGAGGCTTATGGATGGAACTACGGGACACAGAATGTCACAGAAGTTGACTCCATCATAGTATGTTCTCATGAACTGCCCTGGAACAAGTCAATTTAAATGATGAATGTAGCTAGATAACACACTATGTTTTGAGGCCAGGCTTTGCCAACCAAAAAATAATTGATTCAGATGATTTTTAGTTCATTTTTGGTGCTATTTCTAAGCTATTCTGGGTCTGAATCTCAGCTTTCATAAAAACTTCTGTCCTGTCACTGCCCTGCACCAGTGGCATCCCATATGAACACTAGTTTGAGTTGCAGCTGCTGCACTGCTGATCCAGCTCCCAGCTAATGTGCCTGGGAAAGCAGTAGGTGACGCTCCACATGCTTGGGCCTCTGCAGTCACATGGGAGACCAAATGGGGTTCCTAGCTCCTGGCTTCAGCTTAGCCCCACCTCTGCTGTTGCTGACACAGAGCCAGCACTTCCTGAACTTTACCGCACAACAGAATGGTCTTGAAAAATCTCCACTCGATGTGGATCCTTTCCTTTTGAGGTTGGAGACTTCCAGGTGTCACCTTGGCATGTGCAAGGTCACATGTCCTAGAATCCCAGTGTGTTGACCTGTGGGGTCTCACTAATCCCCAAGACATCTATTCCATCTCCTCTTTCAGCCAGAGAACTCCAATGAGTGTGACATGTGCTGCCAAGGGGGGATGATTTACTGCTGCGATACCTGTTCAAGATCCTACCACCAGGACTGCCACATCTCACATATAGACCCTAAGAGGTTAGTAAGCCACTTCCCCACCCAACCCTCTCCTGGTACAGCACCTGCATCATTCACAGCTGGCCTGCCGGGTTCTGGGTCCTGGTGAGAGCTTCAAGGATCTATCAGATGAGGATCCATAAGGATCTCCCAGAGCTCTAACGTGGCCAATAGCAGCAGACTCATAGAGGCAGAGTCTCTTCAGATGGTTCCTAGAACCTCACACACTGACACAGTGACACCATCCTACCCTGGCTGTTGGTTCAAGCCATATCTCTCCCCTCTCCCCGACCCTCTACCATACACACACATACGCATCCTGACCTGCTGTGGCAACATTGCAAGCATGGTTGTTAGGGCCTTCAGAAGGCTGTGCCACTATCTGTCAAGTCAGCTGATTCTGCATCGCAAGGAGCATGGTAAGGTCTGTGAACTCTGTGGATGTGAGCCCCTGCTTCAGACAAGGCTGATGCTGTGTAGGTTACCATGGAGACCGATGAGGTGTCCTGAGAATGATGCTCTGGGTAGAACTGCTGTGGCCAGGAGAATGGCCTCTATGAGGAAGGCATCTGTCCTGGTGAGGTCAAAGCTTTCTCCTTCCATGTTGGGAGGGATCAAGTAAGCCACCTGCCCCCAGGGTGCCATCTGAGGGCATCAGTGCAAATGCATGCCTTTGATGAACTGGACAAACTATAGAGGCAGAAGACAGAACAGCCGTTTTGATCAGCCTGTATATAGTCCCAGATCCACGCTGGTCTGGGTCCATGGAACATGCACTGAACATCCTGGGAGAGGTGACATCTCAAGGATGAGTTATTGTATGTGTATCTGATTTTCTTTTTTTTATATATTTATTTATTTTGTATCTGATTTTCAAAAGCCTCACAGCACAGACAGCAGGGGAGAGACACTGGGGAATGACTCTTAGGGCAAATGGAAGGTGTCTAACTCATTTGTAGGTTTCCTTTCCAAGAAGGTTTTACGGGACAAATTCTAGAATGGAATAAGGCAGTGTCAGAGTAGAAGATGCCTATAGCTTGGCTTTTGCCAAAAGTGAAAAAAACAGAAACCTGGCTCTCCTGAGTTTGACAAAGATGAGGTTGATGCATCATGGCCCAAGACACCAGTACTTAAGGTGCTAATTTCTAAGACTTGACTGTGCCAAAAAGGAATCGTTATCAAACTCCCAGAGGCTCTGATGCAAACTCCAGGTTTGGAGGTGAATGAGACTCCATCGCTCCTTAGGCATGTCACTCAACAGGCTTGTCACTCGTGCTGCCACTCTTGATGGGAGGGGAGTCTCTAGTTACAGAAAACAAGGGGTCTCCAAGAGGAGAGTGAGAGAAAGATGGAAACCACAGGTCAGTCTTGAGGAGAGGACTTCAGCAATCACAGAATCCCTGACTGACTCACCGATCCTGTCTTTGCTCACTTATGTCCAACCTCCTAGCAACCCATGGAGTTGCCTCAACTGCAGGACCAAAGACATGTGGCAGAGTTGTGGGAAGAAACAGCCACTTCATCAGGAATCAGAGGTGCTGCAGATGCAGATGAAGCCTGAGCAGCAGCTGGTGAGTGGTGCCAGGAGCCTGAGGCCACTCCTTGCCGGGCACAGGGCAGGAGCGCAGTCTGACAGCAGGCTGAACCTGTGCCTGAAGGTAAACCACAGGCCCTCACTGGGCTTCCATCCCACGACCTCACACCAGAGTGTGGTCTTCAAAGGAGACCCGCATTCCATGTGTGCTCCCAAGAGTCCGCAAGCCTGGAAGCTGTGTTCTGCCTGGGCGTGTAGGTGAGCAGCTCTATGCAAGGGGCCTTTCCCTCACTGTCTTCATCTTCTACAGAGATGCGAGTATCTCCTCCTGAAGGTATACCAGTGCTCAGAAAGTACCGCTTTTGCCTCGAAACCGCATTATGTAAGTAGCAGCCACAGCCTGAAGGCTGTGAACTTGTGATTGGAAATTGTACAAACAGCTTTTCTCTCTGCTTTCTGGGTGACTGTCTTCCTTCATATGTCTTATCACAGATCATCCTAGATGAGATCTCAAGTTTGCATCGTAGATGGGGGGCTGAAGCCACATAATTTGACTTCTCAGAATCTGGAAGCTGCAAGGCTCAGATGAGGGTGCCAGTGGGGTTGGGCTTAACCCAGGCTCCTCCTCTGAGAGAGCTAGCTGCACCAAGAAGGAGGGAGCTCCTGAGGGTCTCCACAAGGGCACCAAGCCAATGGGGAGGCTCCACCCTCACAACATGGTTACCTCCCAACAGCTCTTACACGGGGGGAGGAGAGTGTCAGGGTTCAGCCATGCAAGGGAGGCGGGAGGGGGAGGAACACACGCCCTTTCCTCATCCACCCACCCTGGGAGTCTAGAGAAAGCAGGCGTGGAGCCACACCCCCAGCCCTCCCATTGTATTTGTTGATCTCAACAGGGCACCCAGCCATGCCAGGGCACACAGGGGCCCGTGTTAGACGAGATCAAGAAGAAGCTGCGCAGTCAGGTGTACTCGCACGTGGGGGGCTTCGTGCAGGACATGCGCCTCATCTTTCAGAACCTCAAGGCGTTTTGCAGCGTAAGTGATGCTCCTAGCGTCCCTGCTCTCCGTCATGGCCTTTCTACCTTGCATCTTCTATAGAGCGAATGTTTCAACTGCCCTCGTCAGTTGAGAAGCTCATACAAGCCAACGTGATAATGACAACCTGGAAGTATCCAGAAAGCTCTGGGGGGAAATAGCCCAAGCCAGAAAGCGTCACTGCCAGCAGGACCTAAGGCCCCTGCCTGTACTCTCTCACAGATGGAAGATTTCTGCCAAGGCAGAACGCTCGGCGTTCAGCAGAGCTGTTCACCCCCACAGGAAAGACAAGGGCATTTTCAGGGCAATCAGCTCTTCCCATCTTGAAGGGATGCTGTCATGGACGCCCTGTTAAAGCCTGGGTTCACTTGCCCCATGAGCAGCCAGTCCATGGCTGATGCCAGTACGGTGGTGAGAGAAAGTGGGTGTTGATTTTGCACTCCGTGATGCCCTGAGGGACTGAGGGCAGCAAGGCTTAGGGACTAAAGCTGGGGCTGAGCCGTGCTCCCCAGCTTGTGTGCCACGGTGCTGGCAGCTTTCCTGTGATTGGTCGGTGGCTGAAGCCCCCGCAATTTCCTGAGAACATTGTGATGGCAGAGTGGACCAGAGGCCACCATAGATGGACATGGTCACTGTTTTGTTTGGTCAAGGCCAGGGGTTCTTGTGAAGTGTCTCAAATGGAATCCAGCTGCTCGAGATGAACTAGAGAGGTCATCATGGCTTTGCAGTCTCGTGGCTGCAGTCTTGTGGGGCTAGACTGATCCTTTTCCATAGAGTCATCAAGGCGGAGGCATAAGAGGACACGTTGAGGGGCGAGGCCGGAGCCTGCTAGTCTACCTCCCAGCCGGTAGGGACAGGCCCTGCAGACGACACCACACCAACCACCTCCCACCTTCAAATCCTGCTTTGCTTTACGCCTGAATTTCCTAGTCCTATAGCAAAAATAGTGAAAGGCATTCCCAAGGGGTGAGGTCAAGGTACAAGGGAAACGTGAATTAAAGGTAGACACTTTTGTGCTATCACATTATTACATTTAAAATGTGCTAGTATCTAGTATCTAGAATTCATAAAAGTGACATCTATCCATGAATTCATAAAAGTTATCCAATATCTAAAATTCATAAAATTAAATCTCTCCGTGAACTGCCCATCAGGAATTAGCCTGAAGTTTGTGAGTTGAGTATTCCTAACCAAAACATGTGAAATTCCAAATGTTCAGAAAATTCCACACTGTAAACCTTTGCTTCATGCATTAAATTATTAAAAGTTGCGTGCACACTTACCTACGGGCCGTGTGGAAGGCACAGACGGTACATCAATGAATTTTTGTGTGTGAACTCAGCCTGTATAAACAGTGCATCCTGTTGCGCATGTGCAAATGTTTGCCAAGTCTCCAAAACGCAGAATCTGCCGCACTCCTGGCTCCAGGCGTCTTGGGGAAGAGGTGCAGAGTCTGCTTTTCCACCTTCCAAAGAGAAACCACCAGAACAGCAGAGCACACCTGCCTTCCGGCTGTGGGGCTCATGCCCACGGGGGAGGTGAGGAGTGGAGCCCCACAGTGGCTAATGTCATATCTATTCCTTTTCAGGATGGAGTGTTCCTGAGTGAACTCGAGGCCAAGTTTGAGAAGAACTTCCAACATATTTTTGCAGTTCAGGAAACCGGGCAGAGCATGTCTTAGTTGGAGCCCACCGCTTGTCAACATTTCTTAGCCATCCCTGACCACCTATTTGTCTAAACTAAATTTAGACTTGTCCAAGTGTTCGGATTGAACCACTTGGAGAGAAAGTTGCTGTGGAAGAAGGGCACCTTTCTCCACAGAGCGTTGGCCTGCTCATGGCCTCCATGCATTCAGATCCTTCATCAGATCCTTCAGCAACGTCGTCTCTTCCCACACAGGACTGACATTCTTCTTCACCCCGAAGTATTTTATGTTTCGGTTGTTACTGTCAACGGTACCACTCTCCCTGTGCTTTGTTACTGTCGACTGTTACAGAAAGCTCCTGAGATCTGTGCATTCACTCACACACATGCAGATGTAAGTGCAGAGATCACTCCCTTACTGAATGCTGGGCAGTACTGGCGATTGTTTTCTGTTTTGTTTTGTTTTGTGCCTGGTACCCAAAAGCATCAGGAAGACTTGGTGGATACATGACATTTCCGTGGAACCGCGATTGACTCCACTGATGGAAGCATTCACTACCTGGGCTCTGAAAGCTCTGACGAGCCTTGGCTCTGCTGGAGGGTGGCTCTGCCTAGATGGTTAGGGTCAGCCACTCCAGGTGGCTTCCTGATGCCACCAGAAAGCCCACAGGGAACATCCGAGACCGTGGATGCGGCGTATTCTCTTAGAACATACTTTTTCTTATGAGTGAGTGTACATTCAGCAATGACAATAAAAATAAAGAACAGTGAAACATAAACCAGTCCCGTAGTCATTTCCATTGTCCGTATCCAAAATTGCACATTGTATGTAATTTACGTACCTGCTCTATCTTTATGCACCTGGCCACGGTTTGCTTCTGCCAGTACCACCGCCTGGCACTGTAATGCTAGGAAAGCCGCAGCATCGCTGACTGATGAGAATGTCTGGCTCCATTACAAACCTAGGACCACCCTTACACATGCCTCCCTTCTGTGGCCAAAGCATCATCATGGAGTATATGACTCTACAGACATGGACAACTGCGGGGAAATGAGTAACTCTTCAGCAGGTGCCTTATAGTCCAGGCTGCAATACCACCTCCAGATTTCAAAAGGAGGATGGAAAGGCCAGGGAGGTGGGAGGGTGAGCAGAGAAGGTAGGCACTGGATGAAGCTTCCTGTAGTGCAGAGGGAGCCACTGTGATTCCAAGGACCCGGCTCCAGCCCTGCAGCACCGCATCACCTGTCACACATCACATGCCTGCAGGGAGCAGGATACAGAGCTCTCCTTGACCAACATCAGTTTCCCCTGTAACCCTTATGATTCACTCAGAAATATGCCTCCAAGGCAAGGGTCATCCGTGGCAGGTGCTCCCAGACCCTGCTTCCCAACATCACCAGAGAACACGGGGAGCTCGCAGTGGTCCCAAGCCACAGAGCAGTGACAATGCGGGGTCTCCCGACTGCTGTGGCATCCCCCCACAAGAGCAGACCAGGCCTGGGCCCACCCAGACAGAGCTCTGTGCACAAACCCACATCATCCTGGCACCTGTTAAGTCTTGCCCTGCAGCCCCCAGGCTGTACTATAAGTCAGGAGATAAGCTCTGGGTGAGTGCAGACCCATTGTCTCCGACTGCGACACAAACCCATCCATGGCACAAGGGTTGGCAGCTCTACTATCCATCTCCCACATACATTCCTCATGGTATTCCGTCCTTACATCTGGCAGGAAAAATGGCATGCCTCCCTATGAGTAGCTCTGGAAATGCCCCCTCCGAGGTAAGTCACTGACAAGGGCTTGCTCAAAGGGACCCGATGGGCACCCACCCCGTTACCTCCCCAAGAGCTTCCAGACCTGTCTAGCTGCAGGGCATGTGGGGTGTCCTTGTGCGGGGGACAAAGGTGCACCACTCATGTGACTCTGCCTGCTACCGGCTCATTCCTTGGAATCCATTGAGGCACCTTCCCCCACCGCACCACCACCTGCCCTCACCCTCCCACCCCAAGACTCCAGCCTCCCCAAGACAGCGAACCAGCAACCGGATGCTTGGCTCCAGATGAATGGAAGGCTTGTAGGAAGGAAGACAGGGCTGCCAGGGTCTTGCGGTCGTGCGGTGTCTGTGTGACTTCAGCCCAAGCAGCAGGGCCAGGGCCTGGCTGCACAGAGCCCTTTTAACTTGCTTCTGGTGAAACCCAACTCTAGGCTGGCAAACACTGGCACCCAGAAGCTCCCCACCTGTTGAGTGCACCCCTCCATGCTGGCCTGGAGCCATGCAGTTTGCACTACCTGCTTCTTCTCCTGGGCTCCCTCCTGATAGGGTGCCAGGGGCCACTGAGTTATAGAGAAATGAGGGGCAGCTGGACACACAGTTAGGCAGCCTCCTGGATTCCCACCTTCCCAGCTGCCACTTTCTCATT